TCTATTGAGTTAATGGTGGTTACAGCATAAAATCAAGTTTAGCAAATGAGAATAAAATGAATTTCTTTCCAAACAACTTATCACTGGGAAAAAAAATAGACCCATCCAGGGACACACTTGGCTTATTTGTCAGCCAATCCACCTAGTGTTTTGTATTCTTATATTTTCTCATTTATTCTTATATGAACCTTAACACAGAATATAATAGTTATGAATCTTAACACAGAATATAATAGTTACCATTTCGTGTTTTAAGGATTTAGCACTGAATTTGTGGTTGTTAATTGAATTGTCTTCAGCTATAAGAGGAAGAAATTGATCAAAGTTAATAAGGCAATAATTATGACCCTAATTCTAGGTTCCATTTGATAAATTGGAAGTTTCAAAACACTTGTCAGATTTCATGGAAAGACATCTATAGCCCTGAACAACCAATATGAAAATGACTAAGCATGAAATAAGGGTATTAAATCCATCTGTTATAAATAAGAGTGTAACATAAATCTGTCCTGTAAATGGTATTGGCTTTAATTATGGTTCTTATTTACCGTGAAAGAAGGAAAATTTACGCACGTGCTCACGGTTGAACAATAAGAGGCATTGTCATTGAGAGCAACAGGTGTGAGATCAAGAGCAGCTGCAATAAACTGAGCTGCCCAAGAAAGTCTTCTTGCCCCTAAAAGCATCCTGTTTCTGCCAATATAAATAAGAAAACTCAAATGCCTAAAAAGGTAGATAGAACAACAGACTTCTAAAATAGTATTAAAGTTTACAACTGCAGATGTGACTCAGTGTTTCAAAATATATAAGCTATTAAAAATAGAAAGTTTTTGTTCAGGCTTAAGAGGTATATAAGAAAGAAAATTAGAGGAGATCCTAAATATTCATATAGTTATAAAAATGACTCTTACAGTAAATGTCATCAGTATTAAAACTCTAAAACTACTTGAATTTTGGAGACAATAATAGAAACAACAAATGGGGGAGTGGGAAACTCTCAAATGCTCTAGTTAGGGCATTTTTTTCTAAAAGAAGTTGAAAATAGTGACAAAATTCTCAGCTGAACAATTTCAGAAACATTTAAACCTATGACTTAAAAGTAAATAAATAATATATTTTATATAAATGTTAGAATATATTTTAATCTAAACTAATTTTATAAGTAGGAAATATGGAGTCTTAAAGGGCCAGACATGGGGTAAAAATAATTTGTTATCCACTATGAGACTAATTACATTTCTTTGACCCACCTGAGTGGATTTTCAATAGAACAAATTAGCACTTAGGTAACAGTGTAGTAATTAAATAATTCCAAAAGTATTTTATGTATATTTTAAGCCTTATATAATGAGTAAATGTATTGATAATGTTAGGAAGCAAGGATTCTCACTTTGGGACAAGGAAACCATAAATATGAAATATGGGTGGGAAATGAAGACGCTTGTATTAATGGATTAAAAGCATAAGCATGATTTCATATGTATGATATATGTATGTATATATATGCACACAAGTCTACAGTGTAAGTTGAAGTATGTACTAATTTAAGGCAAGCAACATCTATGTATGTTGGAAATTAATGGCTAATAAAATCATTTTGGAAACAGCATATTCACATAGTTTCAGCATATTCAGAGTTTCTTCTCTCCACAGATCACTAATTAATTATAAAAAAATTAAAAGGTACCTTTCAATTGAGAAATTTGTTGGACACCGTTTTATAATCAAATCACCATATTTAATATCAATGGTGGAACAAAATTATATCATATGACTTCTGATGTGCTACATTAAGAAGGATACAATATCACGTATGTGGTATTTTTGTGAAAATATTTAACCCAAATCTAACCAAGAAGAAAAAACAAAAAATTCCAAATTGAGGGATATGCTTTAAAACCACTCTTTAAAAACAGCCATGTCATAAAAAAGAAGTCAGTGTCATGAAGATAAAAACAGTATCATAAGAAATGTTTTCTCTAAACAGTTCTAGTTTAAATAAAACTAGAGAAACATGACAACTAAAAGCAATGTGCAGTCCTTGATTGTATTCTGCATTTTAAAAAAGGAACAGACACAAAGGACATTATTGGAACAATCTGGAAAATTAGAATATGAGGTATATATTAGGTAACAGTACTGTATTCATGTTAAATTTGCTTGAACAGCAGAAATTGATTCTCTCACAGTTATGGAGTCTAAACATCTGAAATCAAGATGTTGGCAGAGTTCTGCTCCCTCTGAAGGCTTAGAGGAAGATCCTTCCTTCACTCTTTCTAGCTTTTGGTGGTTACTGACAATCCTTGGCCTATTTTGGCTTATGGCGGCATTAGTCCAATCTCTGCCTCCATCATCACATGGCCTTCTTCTCTGTGTATGTCTATGTGTCTGCAAATCTGTCTCCCCTTATTAGGACACCAGTCATTGGATTTAGGGCCAACTCTAATCCAATATGATCTTATTTTAATTTAATTATAGCTGCAAAGACCCTATTTCCAAAACAAACAAAAATAAAAAAAACAACAAGTTTACATTCACAAGGACCAGGGGTTAGGATTTCAATAGATCTTTCTGGGGGATATAATTAAACCTACAACACTCTGATAACATTACATTGGCCAAAGCAATTCACATAGACAAGTCTATAGTCAAGAGGTAGGTAAGTGTACTGAACCCAATGTGAAGTCAAAGCATATCACATGTTCAAACTCAACATCACTGGAACAGAGAGGTATAAACTCAAAACCCTCATTACATAACAGGTGAGGTAATGAATATATACATTAATTAGACTTAGTCATTCCACAATGTATATATACTACAAAACATGTACACTATAAATGCACACAATTTTATCTCTCAATTAAAAAATAAGAATCCTAAGCAAGAGCAAGACCCTGTCTGTACGAAAAATAGAAAAATTAGCCATGTGTGGTGGTGAGCACCTGTAGTCCCAGCTACTCAGGAGGCTGAGGCAGGAGGATCAATTGAGCCCAGGAGTTTGAGGTTGCAGTGAGCTATGATCATTCTATTGCACTCTAGCTCAGGCAACAGAGAGAGACGCTGTCTAAGAAAATAATAATTCTTATATTTCAACTCAAGTGTTTTTAATTTATGATTTTTGAATGAATTTTTTTTGAAATTGATTATATTAAGACTTCCTAGCATGTCAAAAGCTTCTGCATAATTTGTGAATCATTGGGAGAAATATGTCCTTTAAAAAAAAACCTCCCAGGTAGCCTTTTTATGAGGCTAAGTAACATCAGTGGATCCTATACTCTCTATTTCCTCTATCCAAATTGATCAAAGCCATTCTCTGTTGACACATATTGACTAAGCATAAACATGTCTATTTTTTTATTTATAAAGAGATGCTCAGTACTCATATTCAGAATATAACAAACTACTACAAATCAATAGAAAAAGACAATGCAATGTAAAAAATGGGCAAGAAAACTGAACAAAAACTTTCAACAAAAGGATTTTCAGATGACTACAAATATATTAAATAGTGTTCTACTTTGTCAATAATTAATAATCAGAAATGCAAATTAAACCAACAATAAGATGTGAACACACTCACCAGAATGGGCAAAATTAAAAAAGGCTAGTAATGGTAGATGGTTTTTTTTGAAAGAATTTGAGCAGCTAGAACTTAGACTGCTGATGAGAGTGTAAATTGGTACAACCTCTTAGAAAGCAGTTTGGCAATATCATGCAAACCTGAAAAGAACATACCTTATGACAGGAATGCCACTTCTAGGCATATACTCCCCCCCAAATCTGCACACACATGCACAAAATGACATGTATAGTGAATGATATGCTATGAGCAGTAGCACAATAGAGTGGGTAAATGAATTTTGATGCCACATACTGAAAAATAACAGCAGTCCTTGGCAGCTAGGAGCTGGCCTGATATATCGAGGCCATGGTATTCTCCTGTTGAACAAAAACAATTTCATATAACATCAACATCAGACAAGGCCATTCTATGACTGTGATGAATCAAGAGAAAAACAAGAGCACACCATAATCATGTCTAAACACAAACAAACAAATAGCATTTTTCAATCCACAAAAATGCTCAAACATTCCTATCCTGGCTAATATTAGTAACTATGGCTTATTTACCTATCACAATTTTAGCCTTACCTCATTACACCCATCTTCTACATAAAAATCATTAATATACTCAGCATAAAATTAATTCCATTTATGATGGCATCCAATCCAGAGCAAAGCCCAGCTTCACACCTCCGCCAAATCATCTAACATAAGATCAGATATCATGTGTCCTTTCTAACACCCTCTTGTTGAAATGCTTCATGATTCTCTAAGGTGTACAGTTTCCCTTGTTGCAATAAGCTAGCAAATACAACTTTGTTCAACTACAGGTGTGTTTCTGATGGTGTTTGGCTAAAGTGCATTGACAATACACTGGAATTCTATACACTAATGCAAACAAATGAACTAGAGGTAAATATAACAACACCAACCTCACACTGAGCTAAATAAGGAGGGGAAAAAACTAAATTCAAAGGATTATCTACTGTATACTTTATATATAGTTTTAAAAAGAGGCAAAACTAAAAGTTAAGTGTGGGGATGCACACTTGAGCCAGGTGTTAAAATATCTGGCAGAGACTGAGGGATTTAACTCCTTCATGTCAGGATGTCATTCAGGTTTTGTACACTTTCCATTTTCATTCACTTTTTTTTCCCACTTGGAAAATATGGTTTAGACATCTCATAAGTGGTAGTAACTGTTTGTATAACATCAAGGATATAAAATGCTGAGAACAAATGAGAAATCAAAGGCTTTTGATAATGAGCATGAGACAGAATGTCAGAAGACAAGTTCTAGTTCTTACATTGCCATGAGTAGCTGATGAAATGGGCAAGTGATTCCATCATTTGGGGCCTTAATTTCTTCATCTGTTAAAAAAGGAGGGAAATTGGATCTCATCTTTCTGACATACTTTATCATGCTTAAACATTTTATGATCCTATGATCATAGAGGAAACTCTTGACAAGTCTCTCCTATATTTCTATCAGGCCACTTTCAATATATATAAAATGATCTTTATTTATTTAAAATCCAAAGCCAAACATTTATCTTCATTTGATTTATCCACTATATTATCTGGGAAGCAGAATAATATACTGATTAAGAGCATAGACTTTGGAGTCAGACAAAGTTAATTGAGTTTTATCTCTAATATTTACTAGCTAGGGGACGTTGAAGGGGTCTTGTCTCAGTTTCCTTGTCTTTTAAGAAAAGAAATAATGTCTATTTCAGAGGGCTGTTGCAAGGATTAAATTAAATAATGCATGTAAATCCCTTAACACATTGGTAGTACATAGAAATCATATCCTGTAAATTGACTGCCATCAAAATCATAAGCGACAAACCAGCTGCTTCCTAAGCATTTGAGGGTTCTGGGGCAAGGAATGGATTTGTGCAAATCAAGAGTCCTGTTGGCCTAGTCCCCTAGTAGTGTACCTACTGGGCCTCAGGTTCCTGAAGGATAGTCTCTGCCTGTTCCCTTTCCTTTTTCCTACTGACACTTCCTCCATGCTTTCCTGCTCCCTACCCCATATATTTGGTCCAGGCTCCAGAAGACACTGCATGATCCTTTTGCTTCTTTCTTGGTCTCTGGATAGATCGCAGAGCGTGTAGCTTAAACTTGTTGCTGTTTGCTCATTGCTGCAGTGGCCCTAGCCAGCTAGCAGATACAGTGACTTCAGCTTGAGGGAGTATCCTCATTGGTGTCTCAATTCCCAAGGACTTTTTTTCCTGAAAGGGAATTAACAGGTGAGTCTGTTGTTGCTTTGGCAACAAACTTTCAGCACCTACCTAACTCTCCGGAATGAGAACATATCTATTAATACATTCAATAGACTGGGGAGTTGAGTTGCCCCAATGCAAATTTTCTTCCAGGTGCCAAACAGCTTAGCGGGCTCAGGTAGCCCTTGGTGGCGCTGCGGTGAGAGGCTGGTGAAGCGGAAAGCAGCCGTTGCAGTATTCTGTTTCAGAAAAGTGAAAGCACATCCGCAGCAGTTGGCGTCCACCGCAGAGTGCGCTTGTGAGAACCGATGGCGGTTGCTCCCAGGAAACCTTTGCAACGCAGGCAAGTGGGATCTCTTCTCATTTTTCTGTGCGTGTCTGTGGGGGGCGCGACAACCATCCGCTATTCGGTGGCGGAGGAGATGGAGAGCGGCTCCTTTGTGGCCAATGTGGCTAAGGACCTGGGGCTGCAGGTAGGGAAGCTGGCTGCGCGCGGGGCGCGGCTCGTTTCCGAGGGCAACAAGCTGCACTTTCGGCTCCACCGCAAGACAGGGGATTTGTTCGTGAAGGAGAAACTGGATCGGGAGTCACTTTGTGGCAAAGCCGACCCGTGTGTTCTGCACTTTGAAATAGTCCTGGTGGAGCCGCTGCAGTCCTTCCGTGTGGAGGTCAGGGTATTTGATATCAATGACAATGCCCCGATTTTCCTAAACAAGGAGCCGCTCCTAAAGATTCCGGAGAGCACCCCCTTGGGTTCACGGTTTCCTCTGCAGAGCGCCCAGGATCTGGACGTGGGCCTCAACGGTCTCCAAAACTACACCCTGAGCGCCAACGCCTATTTCCACCTGCACACCCGCTTCCGCAGCCACGGCCCCAAATACGCCGAGCTGGTGCTGGATAAGCCCCTGGACCGAGAGGAGCAGCCTCAAGTCAACTTGACGGTTACAGCCGTGGACGGCGGGTCCCCGCCCAAGTCCGGCACTGCCCACATCCGCGTGGTGGTGCTGGACGTCAACGACCACGTGCCCCAGTTCTCGCGACTGATGTACCGCGCTCAAGTGCCGGAGAATAGCGCCAACGGTTCTTTGGTGGCCACGGTGACTGCCGTGGACCTAGACGACGGCACCAACAAGGAGATAACTTACTCCTTAGCTCAAAACCCAGACGCGATTCTCCAGACGTTTCAGATTGACCCTCAGAGTGGAGAGGTTCGACTAAGAGGGCCCCTAGATTTTGAAGCTATTGAAACATACGACATTGACATTCAAGCTACCGATGGAGGCGGCCTCTCCGCCCACAGCAAAGTCCTGGTAGAAGTGGTGGATGTGAACGACAATCCTCCGGAAGTGATGGTCTCCTCTGTGTCCAGCCCTCTCCCCGAGGACTCGCCCCTGCAGACCGTAGTGGCCCTTTTCACTGTCCGAGACCGGGACATTCGAGTGGGAGGAAAAATTACCTGTTTCCTCAAAGAAGACCTTCCCTTTGTAGTCAAACCTACATTCCGGAATTCCTACTCCTTGGTCACGGACAGAGGCTTGGATCGGGAGGGGGTCTCGGGCTATAATATCACCCTTGTGGCCATGGATGCTGGACCACCCAGCCTGTCCACGGAGACTGTGATAGAGGTGCTAATATCTGACATTAATGACAATCCCCCAGTATTTCAGGAAGACTGCTACATCTTGACTGTTAGAGAAAACAACAGCCCTGCGGTTTTTATTGGCAAAGTCCATGCTGAGGATCTAGATTTGGGGGAGAATGCCCAAATAACATATTCCCTGCTGCCTCCAAAGAGTGGAGATCTATCAGTCTTTGCTTACATCTCCATAAATTCAGACAATGGGAAACTCTATGCATTGAGAACCATGGATTATGAAGCCATTCAAGATTTTCAATTTGTGATAAAGGCAACTGATGGGGGTTTCCCATCGCTAAGTAGCCAAGTTACTGTCAAAGTTGTTGTTTTGGATGACAATGACAACCGTCCAATGATTTTGTACCCACTGCAGAATGGCACCTTGCCCTGCAATGACCTGGTGCCCAGGTCTGCGGAGGCAGGCTACCTGGTGACCAAAGTGGTGGCAGTGGATGGTGACTCAGGTCAGAATTCTTGGCTTTCATACCATCTATTTAAGGCCACTGACCTTGGGTTATTTTCTGTTCAACAACAAAATGGAGAAATTCGTACATTACGGCAGATTTCTGAGAGAGACCCCATGATGCAGAAATTGATCATTCTTGTTCAGGATCATGGTCAACCAGCTCTCTCCACTACTGCTTCACTCAACATCCTGCTGGTGGATGGCTTTTCAGAGCCCTACTTGCAGTTCCGGGATCCATCCAAGCATTCTAGAAAGGTAAATCCATCCACTAAATATTTGGTCATTTCTCTGGCTGTGCTTTCCTTCCTCTTTCTCCTCTCTGTCACAGTGATCTTTGTTATACACATCTACCAAAAGATTAAACATAGAGAAAAGTTCACAATTCAAGAGCATTTCTACGATGATTGTCATTTCCCTAACAACCTGGTACACGGAGGAGGCAATGGATCCTTATCCCGGCCTTTTCCCCACGAAATGTGTTCAGCCACTGGCACTGGGAATAGTGAGTTCCGGTTTCTTAAGCGCTTTATGCCCAACTTTCCTTTCCCTCATGCCACTGGAGAGATAAAAACAGAGACTGGCTCCAGTTTACCTCCAGATTCTAATAGAAATAAGTCTCGGAGATCAGAGGGACATGCCCAGGTATCTGACGACTATATGTAGCTCATGTTTACAGCCCTCAGTGAGAGAAGAGAAACAAAATTTTCTGCTTGGTATGCAGAAAATTTTCCCATCCGCGTTGAAACAAAAATGGTAGTAGATTGAAGCTTTAGTGGAGACAGGAGTAGCTAGTTTGATGAAAATGGGAAACTCAAAGTGAGTCTTGGCTTACTTAGTACAAAACAGTTATTCTGATTCTCAGCTCATATTATCTGTAACCCCTTCTGCAGTTAGATTTTGTTTATAGAAATTTCGCCATCTATAAGTGCATATGTGGTAGGAACTTCTCTTTTTCCATCTCTTCTGTGCTAGATAAGTAATGAATGAACCATTATTTATATCTCCCCTGGCCCAGGAAACACTTAGTTCCACAGAGAGATCCTATTATTATATCTTTAAATTATTTTCCAGTAGAAAGTTATGCAGTCATAAGGAAGAGAACTAGCTTCTGTTTTCTTGTTTTTTAGAAACAGGGTCTTGCTGTACATTCAGACTAAAGTATAGTGGTATCATCATAGCTCACTGAAACCTCAAACTCTTGGGCTCAAAAGATTTCTGTCTCACACTTCCAAGTAGCTGGGACTACAAGCATGCACTTCCACACCCAGATAATTTACTTTTTGTAGACTTGGGGTCTTACTATGTTGCTCAGGCTTATCTTGAACTCCTGGCCTCAACCTCCCACCTCGACCTCCCAAAGTGCTGAGATTACAGGTATGAGCCACCATGCTTGACCTTATTTTTTCTTTTCTTTTCTTTTTATTTTATTTATTTTATTTTTGTTGAGACAGGGTCTTACTCCTTTGCCCAGGCTGGAGTAAAGTGGCATGATCATAGCTCATTGAAGCCTCAAATTCCTGGGCTCAAGCAATACTCCTGCCTCAGCCTCCAGAGTGGCTAGAACTACAGGTGTGCACCACCACACCTGGCTAATTTTTATTTTTTGCAGAGACTGGTTCTCACTATGTTGCCCAGGGCTGGTTTCAAACTCCAGCCTCAAGCAATCCTCCCACCTTAGAGTCCCAAAGTGCTGGGATTACAGGCGTGATCCACTGCTCCCAGCCTTGCTTCCCATTTTGATATATCAGGAAGTGATTAGGTTTGACAAGCCAAGATATAGTTTATTACTCAGAAATTTCTAGATTTTTGTCCCTGATGAGTGATCATCCTTGAATCAACACCTTGCATGCCATCATTCATAATCATGGAAATGCCTAGGGAGTGGTGGTCCTCACAGATAATCATGTGGGAGGAAGGGTAAAGACAAAACAGGATTTGACTTACTTGCAAATGTGAGTAAGGGCAGATATAAGGCTAAAAAGATTCAGTTCAGGAATGTTCTCTAATATTAAGTTAGATATAGATTTCTTAATAGTTGTTTAGGGCCTTAGGCAAGTCTAAAATCTCTCTCTTTCTATCCAGATGTCTATCCTTGCATTATCCAAGAATAGTTTTTTGAATATAGGAAATGAAGGGTGGATGAAGGTTAAAAATAAATTATGCCTCCTGTAGTTCATAAGTGTTATAGGACACTCTATTTTGTGCTATTATGTCCTACACAATACTCATTCTAAACTATTTTGTAGTTTGGAGAACTACAAAACAAAAAGGCATTAAAAGAAAAAAGTTCATTAATACCAATTACGTGGCTTTAAGAAAAGATACATTTTCAGGTAGTACTAGATTTGATAGTAAGCCATTTTCCTCTCTGAGTATTCTGAAGTGATGTTATAGAAACTGAGAAAAAAAGAGGTATTTTTAGTAAATCATTTATAAAATGAAATGTAGTAGGGAAACAAGTTAGGCTTCTTTTTGATCATCATTGTTTGCTGTCATAAGCTATTCTGGGTCCTCTCATTCGAAAATTAAAGAAATATAACACAAAATATGAATATTAAACACTAACTTATTTCAGAGATGCTCCAAATACTACTAACTGTGCCTTAAAAGTCAAACATTTACTTTAATGAGGATTTAATTATGTGCCTTATTTTACATAAATGTGTGTAAATTCAGACTTACTAGGATACAACCTCTTCCTTCCTGCACAGGTGGGCACAATATTTAAACTCCAAGGGTTGAACATTATCTTTTAAAATACTTCTCAAATATACCGGATATTTATTGATATAAGCCTCATTCTTGGACTTATGACTGATACCTAATGGCACCACCACCTGGCTGTCTCCCTGGTAACCAGGAATATACTAAAATTTAGTGGTTAGTTATTTTTTAAATGTTGGAGGTGCTTAGGGCAGAACTGGTATAACCTATCGCTGCCTTAAGTGTTTTCTTTAATATTTTGAGAATATATGAAGCAAATGCCAAATATCAATGAATTTTTTTCCTATTAATATTAAATATTTTCCATAAATTGAGTTTTAATGCTGCTCTTTTAGAGTAAAGGTCTTTCTTTCACAAAACAATTAATAGAATAGTGTTCCAGTGTATTTAGATTATGATTGGTGAAGGCTTTAAGTCAGAGAGGACATAGAATTACCTTTTATGAGTAAACAGTGATTAGTTAATAAAACATGATTACCTAAAAGTCACTGGATTAACCATATTTGATTATACTTAATGATGTGAGCATAATCAATGGAGCTTGGCCTGATGTCAAGGAGACATCAGATAAAGATCAGATAAAGGAGACATCAGATAAAGAGAATGGTATAGATCAGTGATTTTAAGACTTTGAATTTCAAACAGCACACACGCACACACACACAACATTGACAGAAGACAGACTTATCAACATTTTATTTTTACACATATAAATATAAATGATATAAAACCTGCCATTTCATGCCACTATTATTCCATAAAGGAAATGGCATTTGAATATTAAATGGAAAGAAAATAATCTTATAAAGGAAACTATCCTTTAAACTTAAAAAATATATAGTTTCAATAAAAACTATTTTGCCATTATTTTTCTTATTTTTGCCTTAGATTAGTGAAAATTTTGCCACTGACTTCAGATTTGAGAACTATTGAGTTAAATGATGACCTAACCTCATTTTTATTCAGACGTCACGTTCCTAAGATAATTCCAGTTGTACCTGCTAATTAAAAACTAATAACAGCTCTATATCAATTCACGGACAGTGATGTGAGCCAGTTGTATTTGGAGAGAACTCTATATACCAGCTGAGATTAAGTACAGGTCTCCACCAGCAAACTAAGTAAAGAATGGAAATAATTAGGACAATTACTCTCTCTACAATATCAAGTAATACTACTAGAATTATTTGTATTTATTCAAAGCTATAACCCAAAAGCCTTCAAAAATGACTTGTACAAAAAAGTTATAATATATATATATTTTTAAAATATCTAGATTGTTTCAATTGTTTGACTTGGCATGTATAAATCTACATTTCTACTGGAAGTTTTAAGTTATAAACAATTTAAATCCATTTTAAAACATTTTATCATGAGATAATTTTAGACTTATAAAATTGTAAAAATATTAATAGTATAAAGACTTTCTGTATACCCTTCATCTAGCATCCCTTAATGCTAACACCTTACATAACCACAGTAATCAAAATTAAGAAATTAACCTTGGTACAATTCTATTAACTGAACTATCGACTTTATTGAGATTTCACCAGTTTTTCCTCTCATCTCCTTTTTCTGTTGAAAGATCCAATTCAGCATCCCACAAGCATTTAGCTGTCATATCTCCTTGGTCTCTACCACCTGTGAAAGTTCCTTAGTCTTTCCTTATCATGAGTTGAGACTTTTGGAGAGTACTAATCAGTTATTTATAAAATGTCCCTTGATTTGGGATTGTCTTTGTTCTCTCCTGCTTAGATTGAGGTTATGCTTTATTGGGAAGAATACCACAGAAGAGATGTGTCCTTCTCAGTACATCATGCCAGCAGGTACATGAGGTCAATGTCATAATACTGGTGATGTTAATCTTTTTTTCCTCCACTTATTTAATTACTTCTTTATATATGGACACATCGATATTTACTTATTATTTGGGTTATAATCCAATTCTATAATTGTTTATTTTCTGTTCAGCAAACTTTTATCTGAGATGAAGAGCAGATTTTCAAGACTGGAATTATTCACATAGAACACATTTTGATCAAAATTAGTATTTCTTTGTAACCCTAATGTGAGATTATTTTAACCAAGCATAAATTTCTTTAATCTTGTTAAAGTTTATTCATAATGAATGTTTTAACTTTAAATGAAAATTATACTAACATGATTTTAAATTTAGTTATAAATTTAAAAATAGAGATATTAAACTATGAAACATTTAAAATTTATTACACAGACATGTTTATATATTTATAAGCTATGTATAATAGATATGTCATTTTAAAATAGATTTATATACTGAAATTAGACATATGGATATATGAGAAATGGAACTAGTCTATCTGATTTTATGTAATTATCCTAAAATAAAATATATTACTTTCTTTATCATATCTGTGTTTTGTTGTTTTCTATTTAATGATGAATTTGTCTCATTCTTACAAGCAGAATTCATCTCTATAATTCTCCCATATAAATGTCTATTTTCTGTAGAGTTACTATCTTCAAAGTATATGACTATTTGGACACTCTTCAACCAAAAGTTTCATTCCCAAATCTATTTAACACTTTTTAAATAATATTATTAAAGTATAAGTTGTGTTTATATAACATTGAAACAGAATGTTAAAAAGTAAAAATAACAAGGGTTTTCTAGTCAAGTTGATGAAGAAATCAAATTAGAACACTGGCAAAAGACATGAAGAGACATTTCACTAAAGAAGATACACAGATGGTAAATAAGTATATGAGAAGATGTTTAACTTCTTTAGGCATTAGGGAAACACAATTGGGAGGGGAGAGGAGAGGATGGGTATATTCACACCTAACAGGCGTGGTGCACACCGTCTGGTGGATGGACAAGCTTGCAGCTCTGAATCAGGCAGGGTAAAGGCAACATATGTAATCTAAACATTTGTGCCCCTGTAATATTCCAAAATTTAAAAATTTTTTTTAAAAAGACATAATTTCTTTGTTTTGAGATAGATCTGGGACTTAGGATGATTATCATAATCTCTACTGGATTCACTTTTCTCATGCAGAAAATGAAGAGATGTGCATAGCTGGTTAATTTCTAAGGTTTCTTTCTACTGTAGAATTATGTGATTTTTAAGACTACCTACAAAGAACCTTATGAATGATTATAAGTCAAAGTGTTCAATCTCATTTTGCCTATTTTAACAAGTTGTACCAAATGAAAAATCAAATGTTGTGTATGTTCACTTGAAGTTTAGTTACAGGTGTAGATATTAGGTAGCTTTAAAATCATTTTGATATTTTCAAATAAAAAATGGGGAACAGAAAAAATCCACAATGAGATATCACTACATACCTATCCAAATGGCTAAAATTTAAAAGAGAGATAACAAAAAATGCTGGAGATGATGTGGATCACCTATTTCAGTCTCATATTACTGGTGGGAATATAAAATGGCACATCACTCTGAAAAAC